CTGTTGAGGACGAGGAGGTCCTTTTCCTGCGAACTTGACCCCCGCCTTACCTTTCTTCGAACCGCTCCCACCTCTCCGCCCTCCCCCCCCCCGCCTGGGCGACACCAACGGAGGCCGTCGGACCGAGGCGAAATCTGCGCCTTGGGTCTTCGTCACTCTCACCGGTGGCGTTCCAGCCTCACCCCGAGAGGTGGAGGGCTGAGGGGATTGAGGTTGGAGCGGTTCGGGCTCCATTGCCGCGTCAGAGCCTCCCCTGACTTTAAAAGTTATCATCTTAAAGCCAAGGATGACTCTACCGCCTGCCTTCCGAAGAGCCTCCGCCGATGGGTCGTCCAGAGAAAAGGTTACTAGGAACCCATTCTCCTCGTCCCTACGGTGGAGGATTCTCCAGAGCTCAGTATGGAGCCCTTCATTTTGTGCCCTCAACAGCACAGCCGCCTCCTCTGGAGAGTCGGCTTCGCTGCGGGGCAAGTAGGTAATGCCCAGCGTAGGCTTGGGCAGTTCGCCCTCGGGTATTACCGAGAGCTCTGCCTCCGGCCAGGGCTTTAGTTTTCCGATTTCACCCACAATCCAGTCCTGGCTTGCCTTATTCAGGCACGTTACCAGAATCCAACCTGGCTTGTGTGTGAAACCGGAAAATTTTGGGCCCATTCCCGGTTGCGACCCACAGGCCGTCTTAGCGATGGCCTGTGTTAGTGCCCGGTGGACCAGCCGCATCTGCTCCACACTCATAGGATTCGAATTGCGAATTTCTATACGCGCGGAGCCAGCTACGGCACTGAAGCTGTGCTTCTTCTCCTCCGTTGCCAGCTTCACAGTCTTCCTGGGCTGGTCTTTGGGGGACTCTTCCTCAGACCGACTGCGTTTTTTCGCCTTCGGAACTGGGGGAGTCTTGGGCAGAGGAATTTCGTCCCAAGGCTTCTGGCAGAGAGAGAGAGGGCCTCTTCGGCTCCAATCTCAGCTGCTATCAGCCTTCGGTACCTTTTCCTCGCAGCTCCACTAAGCTTATAAGGCCTAGCGAACTTTTTCTTTCCCCTCCCTGCTTCGTTTCCGATTGTGGTTCGGCTGCAAACGTGCCCTCCACTTCACGGCTCGTCCCAGGTTTGGGCGCAGTGTTGCAAGGTGTTGGTGAGGCTAAAAGACCTCTTCTAAACCTGCAGCTAATTCCATTAAAGGAGACTTCTCACTGTCTTTTACAAAATGTCGGTTTTCATCCATTTTGTTCCCACGAGTAGCTAGGGAAATACTTGGTCACCCCCGGCAGAGCCCCGCATGCCGAGGGAAGGGCTAAAATACTAGCCGAATCGCCCTGGTCTCGGGTAGGCACCGTTTGCGACTAGACTCCCTCCAGCCATGCATCCACCGGCACGGTACGCTTGACACCTTGGATTGGGTTGGGATAGGAAAAGGGGGAGGGATAAAAGAAAAGAAAAAGAGGATCGTCCAAGTGTTTCTGTTCTGTCTGTTTCCTATTGAACCAGACCAAATAACAGGCGGCAACCACGTGAAGGAGAACTACTGAGACTTGCCCTGGGGATCAACACGACCTGCGCTCTCCCCCAGAGCCATACGCCAAACTGGTCGCCGGACAGGAGAGCAGTCTAGTCCTATTTATAATATCAAAAAGTTAGGAGTAGACTAACCCCCGCCGTTATATATGGTATTGTACTTCTTATGAACAAAAGTTCACTGCTTGATGGGTCATTCCCATTATAATGAAGTATTTGCCTTAACCATCACTTGGCAGGCACCTTGGTGATCACTACCTGCCTCGCGCCTTAGATGCTGTTTCCCGTTGCTATATGGGTGAATCTTTTTTGTACTGCAAAGTTTAGTTTATCCTTTAATCCAACTTACTTTTTCGTTAGAGCAATAGGCTATATTTTATGAATTTTGGTAAGTTAAGTACTTATTTTCACAAAAATAATTACCTAACGGCTTATACTGTTATGTATCTATATACCTATATATATACCTATACGAATTATTATCTATGGGTAATATTACTCCATAAACAGCAATTGATCTTTGTCAATTTACGATATTTGGGAATCTGTTTTGAAAAATTGTTGAGTCTCGATTCTTGGGATGGATGAACTACATACCTACATTCTCATACAACCCTCACTTTTGTCCGGTTTTTATTATTACTTGGAGTTGTCGTCAGGAAGATGCTGCTGCCCATCTCCTGATTCAGTTTTCCTCTGTCCCTTTTTACCACATCTGCGGGATGCTGTGGGGTAGTATGGATTCTCCCACGCCACCACTGGCTTTTCCTTATTTAAAAAATAATTTGGTTTCAGTCAATACCAAACCCGCATGAGGCTAGATATGAGATTCAATTCACACCAATTCATCATATAGATATCAGGCCAGTTGAGTGTGATACAGAAAATGAATGTAAGGACGAAATTTTTAGCCTTGAATCTGTTAAAGTTGAGGAAATGAATTTTGAAAATGAGAATTTAAAATTTGAAGAAAATGGGTATCATGAAACAGGTAAGGATACATACATTTTGAGATATTAAAGTAAGGTACAGTTTACCTAATGCCAAGTGGATACTGTAGTACTACTATGAACATAAATAAAGAGGGCTTCATATGCAATATACTGATTTACTGATTTGCCTTTGCCTAAATTCAAAGTGCGTATAAAAAGCACTCTTAAGGAGAAAAAATTACTAACTAAATACTTATTTAAAAGATAAGCATGGAGAAAAACACGTGTTTCCTCGATTAATAATTTGTGTGAGCCCCGTTATACTTTTGCCGTCTTCTATTTTGTCGTTTATATTTGTGTTGTGTTGTTCATTACTTATTAGTTGGTAAGTAGCGGTAGTTAATTAATTTATGTATACTTAACTAATACCATTAACATAGGGTAGATTAAGAACCACGATATAATGACAATCCATCTGGTTTTGGTCCCTTTAAACGAAAATGTACAGACTTAACACCAAGCATTCATTAAAAAAAAGTTGGTCGTGAAGATACGCTATCAGCACTATATCAAAATATTTACACCCGCCTTGGTATCTTAGAAGAGAAAAATACACAGATAGTGATAAAGAGCTTTTTATAATCCACCTTAAGTGTATAGAACCCGATCCTTCATTTGCTTATACAATCCTGTCAAGATCGGCCATATTCTATTCCAAAATAAGGTTTCCAAATATGAAAAACTAAGCATAACAAATTTAGGTTGTAAAATATCAATAGATCAATAGATACGCGCTCAATAGATTTAAAACTGCTTCAGATGCCAATAACTTTATTAAATCATCTTTTCATGCTAAATACAAACTATCAGCAGTCATTCCAACCTTCAATGTTACCAGAATGGGTGTTGTTAAAGGTATACCATCTGATATTTCCATGGAGGAGTTAGTGTCTGAGTTGGTACTACTCCTTGGTAGAGAATTTATAAAGGCTAGATTTTTTTTTTGAAAAAGAATATTAACAATGCTACAAACATTACTAATATTCCCCTTAACCACTCGTGGTAAGCTTAGATTGCTTGTGTTACGACTGGTCCACGCCAGTAGTCGAATGGCGGATTCGAACCCATGACCTTTTTGAGTTCGCGATCCGCGCCCAGCCGTTAGGCTACTGTCGCTTCATCATCAGATTACATTGAAAAGTAAAGAAAGGATGATATTGATTGGGTGGTTACCCAAACTATTGTCCTTAAATATTTCAGGCCAAGAGCTTCCTTCTCACTTATACTGCTTTTACTCATCAATTCCTGTATAAAACTACTTACTCGGTTCCATACAGTGTTTGAAGTGTTGTCGCTTTGGATATGTAAAAGCTAAGTACTGATCAAGCCACGCTGCTTCAAATGCTCAAAAGAGCACACTGGAGATAATTGTGTTAAGGATATCGCAACATACCTGTTCTGCTCTGATAGTCACTTGGCAACTAATAAAAGTTGCCGTGAACATTCAAAATAAAAAGGCATTTAATTTGTGATGTTCCACGAAAATGTTTCATATCTAGAGGCATCTGCTTGCTTCCCTGCAGTTAGGAGACCTTTCATCTCAACAGTTATCAAGTATTCCCCTGTCCCTTCTGCTTCTTAATCTTATAGGAAGACAGTTTTCTGAATTAACCCAACTAGACCTGTTCCGAATTATGTAGACTATGATATCGTAGCGTACAACAATATTATAACAACTCCTACTTCCTCCCTTCCAAATGGTTATGCTCTTCAAGCTAATTTATTATCTAATGATAATCACCTGGAAAACCTTATGTCCTCCATCTTTGATATAATGGATAAATTTGGCAACATACACCTACCATTTAAAATGGGAAATACACTTGATGTGGTCTTCAAAAATTTCATAAAATTAAAATAAAACACCCTTCAGTGGAATTATCCAAGCGTCAAGAACAAGGAAATTTGAACTAAATAATTTGGTAAATACTCATAACTCCTTTGTCATTGTTATTGTATAGCTCATAAAAGATAGCTTGAGCTCTGCGACAGCTGTCAGTAAAATCACGCCTATGAAGTCCTGAATTTCTTAGTAGTACAGACAGTACATGCCGATCTAATTAGTGCATGCCCATAAAGTATGACATTGACAGGTGCTGTCTGTACTACTAAGAAATTCAGGACTTCATAGGCGTGATTTTTATTGACAGCTGTTGCAGAGATAAAGCTATCTTTTATGAATCATAGTTCTCTTAGGCTTGGTCTTCTTCAGCAAGGGAAAAATATTCACCGAGCTTGCAAACCTCCAAGAAAAAAATGTCCTCCATAGTAGCAACCTCATATCAGCGGAAGTGACATTTCCTACATTAATGTTATCCATGGGCGTGACATACTACAAGGGGGTGACACTTCTTAGAAATAATGTGTACCTTTGCATTACTACAAAATCAATTATATTTATTTTCATTCACTTTACTTTCATAATAAACAAAAACCCAAATCAACTTGTAGATTCAGTCTTAATTGATATCTACCCAAGAATTCTTTACTATAATCAAATCTATAGGAGTTGAGTTACAGTTTTATCATTATCATTTACCTTCTTAATGATTATTAAGTCAACTTTCTCAAATAAATCCTCTTTGGGTTCATTTTGTTTCAGGTAACCTAATGAATTTTCAGTTTCGGGAATGCTCTTTTCTTGATCAGAAATTGCAGATAATAGTTTGTCTATGTCCTTTATCTGTGTCTCATTCACGACAGAAATTATGACATTAGTTACACTTGTTTCAATAGATTTAATTAAGGCAACAACGTTGGGTATATCTTTACCTTGAGCGACTATGTGTCCGTAGGACACATATCTGAGTGTCCATGTGTCCATAGGGTGTGACAAATGTACTTGATCCAGAATTTTCTGCATGTGAGCAAAAACTGCACAGGCGTCATGTCGCAAACAGTCCGAAACCGTGCAAAAAGATTAACTCTTCAACTCTTGGGTATGAAGGCACTTGTAGTGATATACGCCGGTATGTAGAGTTATCTGCTGCTTCGACGTTCCGAAATGTACTGCTTGTATATCGTTGGAATATTTGCAGCAGTAATTTTCTGAGAAGTCTACTTGCATGAATATTTCTCCTACTTTGAGGTGGCTCTTTAGGGAGATAGTAGCCGTGTATTGTAGAGTTATGTAAAATTAGTGTACCAAAAATTTAACCAAGGCTTCAAGAAACTTTAATGGCAGGGTTTTTACATATATTCACTTCAGCTTTGACAATTCTACGTATTTCTATTTCATTGCCATGTATCAATCCAGTTTCTGTTTTTACTGTCCATGATTTCTATGATGTCTAAGTCGAGTCGTCAAATTCGTTTATTTTCTGAACTTTAGTCTGACACATCTCGCATTTGCGTAACATACACGCTTCTCAATTCATGTCACATACTACTATTTTACAAAGCTTCCATTTCCACAAATTCTGATTAGAAAAATTAATAATAATAATAATCTTTATTGAAAAATTTAAGGAGTTACAAACCCAATGTTGCACTGATTCCTAAACTAGGATAAATCCTGTATCGTAGGATATCAGTACCTTCCCATACCATTTCACATACAGATTTTAAATTTTATCTCAAAGTTTTGGTAAAACAGTTTTTTTAAGCTATGGTTAAAATCTCTCTCTCTCTCTCTCTCTCTCTCTCTCTGTGTGTGTGTGTGTGTGTGTGTGTGTGCGTGTGCGTGTGCGTGTGCGTGTGCGCGTGCGTGCGCGTGCGTGTGTGCGTGTGTGTGTGTGTGTGATCAATCGACTATCATAAGATCGCCGCAGCACAAGACAGAGATAGTGACAACATAAAACATCTATCGAAGCAAGGTAACTTGTCCATCAAGCAAGTTACAATGCCAATGACGCATCTACATATATACTGTGAAGCCTCAACGACAACCATGCGACCATACCTACTAGAAGAATGTCGTCGCGAAGTCTTCAATGCACTGCACAACATCAGTCATCCAGGTGTTAGAACAACAAGAAAACTCATCACTGAAAAATTCTTTTGGCCTTCAATGCAAGTGGATGTTGGCAACTGGGCGAAGCAATGCATTCAATGCCAAAAATGCAAAGTACAAAGGCATACATCAAGTAGCCTAGCTACATTTCCACCCACGGAGAGATTCGAACACCTGCACGTTGACATCGTTGGACCATTACCTACTTCACCGCAAGGACATCGTTATCTCGTAACAATGGTCGACAGAACAACAAGATGGCCGGAAGCAATACCTACCGATGATACTTCAGCCGAATCCGTCGCGAAGATAATTTATGAAAATTGGATTACTGTTTCGGATCACCTAAAACCATCACAACGGATCAAGGAAGAAATTTCGAAAGCAGCCTATTCCTCAAACTTCTTCAAACTATGGGAATACAGAAGACACGTACAACAGCATACCATCCTCAGTCAAACGGAATAATCGAACGATGGCAACCTACATTAAAGACCGCACTCAAAACTCGTTTATCTCAACATACAAAGTGGATTGATGAGCTACCTACAGTGCTACTCGGACTACGAGCAACACCGCGTGCAGACACTAGTCTTAGCGCCACTCAGCTAACCTACGGCTGCAGCATAAGACTGCCGTGTGACTTCTTCAGTTCAGCAGCGTCAAACAAACAAGAAATGGATTACGATTTCGTAACTCAACTTCGAGAATCAATCAACAAAGCCTTATCGTTGAAATGCACCGAAATGCAATCACACAGAAATAATAAATCAGTATTCATTCACCAAGATTTGAAAACATGCAAGCAAGTTTTTGTAAGAAACGACGCAATGAAAAAACAATTTCAACCTACCTACGATGGACCGTATAAAGTATTAGAGAGAAATAGCAAGACTTTTAAACTACAAATACCCGGAAGGAAATCTACGATTATATTGATCGACCGACTAAAGCCTGCCTATATTATTAACGAGGATACTTCAGAGGATTCATCATCATCATCAAAACCATCAGCGAGGAAGCTTGAAACTCCATCATCTACATCAACCCAGTTGAAACCTATTTTAAAAACAACGAGATACGGGCGAGTCGTCAAGCCTCCGGTACGCTTTCGCTAGGGGGAGAGTGATGTAGCAGCCAGACTAATCAACCCTAAACGGCAATAAATAATATATACTCTGCTGCTACCATAACGCGGAAGGCGAGGATAAAAAAACATTTATTTCCTAACTATCCTTGGCTACTGAGATACTGCGGACTGCATATAGATAATTTGACGTTCTTATAAAGAAACAAGAAGCAGGCGCAAATATCATTCAGCGCCACAGCGACTTCACACGCCGCTATCGTCACGTATCCGTCGACCAATGGTGAGCCGTTTCTTCAACGCCGCAGTTCGTTTCTTCTTGCTGTTCCGGAGCTGTATTCCACGCCGCCGCCGCTCACCGACTACGCGCGCGCACCGATCTGCATGTCTTTTATAGCCCGATCCATCGACGTAGCTTCGTGAACAAAAAACAAGTCTCACGCCGGGAAAGGAAACGTAGATAATAGTTGTATATTTTGAATAATTTTCATTGGTCATAATATAAGCATTATAATTGGCTAGGTAAAATAAAAATGGTTACCATTGGTAAACCAAAAACGTAGCCGGCCATATAAATATAGGCAAGGTTGATGCAAATATATTCCATTCCATTCCATATTCATACTCCACTCGGCTTTTAAACAGTAGTTTCATTTCTCCACCTTAAACCTCTCGGAGTCTGTTAATAGTGGACCGTTCATCTCCACTATTACAGGGCAAAAAGAATATCGATCCCGATGAAAAAAGAATCATTTTTTACAACGTTTAATTAGCTTTATTCGCGCTCCATCGTGTTAGTACAGTTAAATGAAACGATAATTTCATAAAAATAATCATGAAAATACCTAAACACAAAACCAAAATTAAAAATTCAATCAATACAAGCAACGATTAGTGTTATTAAAATAACTGTTTTTTTCTACCACCTTGCATTTTAACGATTATCAATAATAATCATGATTTTTATATCAGTAAACTGTACAAATAATTTAAATAGTGTCTTAATTTAAGAAATGTTTTTTTTATAGGATAGGGTGATAAACGAGCATACAGTCCACCTGATGGTAAGTGGTTGCTGTGACCCATAGACATCTACATCTATCCTCGATTACGAATCAAAATGCAGATGCGTTGTCATCCGTGAGGACGTAGGTGGAATGCCTCGTTTCCAGTAATAAGGGTCTCCGGTTCTCTGCACTCACCATACGAACACTTTTTGGCAACATTAAGCTACTATTTAACGCTGGTATTCTGTGAGAGCGTGATCCTTGCCCGGTCGAGCCGACCCATTCGTGCTACAACTATACTACTAATATAACGGCAGCATGGCTCTACCACGTAAACAACAATAACAGGCACCTGAACTAGTATAAACCTGTATCTCAGGTATATTTGTTAAACTATTCAAGTAACACTCTATTATTACACTACCAGCTTAGCTATGTTACTCTGGTCTCTGATTCTACATTCACACATACAAAATAAAGGACCACAAACTTTGTGAGTTTTACTAGAAAAAGGTAATATTAAACTTACGTTGAAAGTATTCGATAGTGAAAAAATATCGATGTTTTCTAACGATATATCGATAAATATCGCTGCTGGGATCCAATGTTTTTTAAGTGGACATTCCTAGTTGACGGCTAGGTAGGGTTAAAATTGTAATATAACAATATTATGGGTGGACATGGATGGAACTCTCCCGATGTTGGGACAATTTGTCTCAATCATCACGCTTGGCATAGGTTGAGGAAAACAGAACCAGACGTGAGCACTACTGACAATGTTGCCCGTCGCCGGTTTAGTTATTTTACATCTGAAGTAAAAGAGGTGGTTGTACTATACTAAGCCATAAGATTTTTCTGGCAAACCCATAGTCGCCTCTTTTTTTTTTAAATCTTTATTTAAGAGCTTAATCAAAATGCGATTATGTCGCTCTATTTGACATCATTTAGAACTAAATAACATTCCATTTAGCAAGCAAACAAAAATGAAAATGAAAACAAGTACTATCTAATTGACTGATCTGAGGAAAATATGTTATATAATTTAGCCAATAATTTTGTTTCATCGGAATGAGGATTGGATAAAATAATGTTACAATCAGCAAATTCCTTTAAAATATTTTTACACTTAGCTATTCGAAAGGCAGCATTGCGGGCACACTCCATCAAGACATGCATTAAGTCCTCGGGAACACCGCATTGTTCACAGTTCGGTGACGGGACTTTATTCATAAGAAAAGCAAAATTCTTGCATGGAATGTGTCCAGAACGCAGCCTCATAATCACTACTGCGTCCTTTCTTGGTGATATGTGACTATCAATCCATGGAATTCTGAGAGGATGTGGCTGAACCGTTTTATACCAGATACCTTTTTCTTTAGAGCGTAAATCAAAATATTCCTTTCATAATTTGTAGCATTGTGTTTTGATTAACCAAATGCAATCTGTATAATAAGGAAGTACATTATATTCAATTCCCTCAGTAATAGCTTGTCTAGCCAAGACGTCTACCCTTTCATTATATTCAACGCCACAGTGTGACGGAATCCACTGTAACTTTATAGATTTAGAATTGGAGGTCAGATTTAAAATACAGTCCAGGACTGAGTAGGCTATCGGAGTGCCTCGTAGGCCCGAGGTGCACCGAGCCAAGTGTTGGAGTGCGCTTTTAGAGTCTGTGAATATCACTATATTGTCTTGTGGTAACGATATTGCGTAAGACAAAGCCTCAGATTGCTATTAGTTCCGCCTCCATAATGCATATTATGTCATTGTCTATTTTTAATTGTAGACTAATGTTGCATTGTGGGTCATAAAAT